TGTTTTTCAAACATCTAAACTTTTTGTAAATGGAGACTAGTTTCTAAAAGATGATACATTATTTTCTAACCTGATTATGGTGACTAGCTGTGGGGTGAAGGTCATTTTCTCACACATAACATACCACTAGTAGTATTTTAATAGCCATCATGTTGTGGATTAAGCTTCATTGGAATAATTCTTTCTTCATCTTCTTCGTTCTTAATTAAGTATACGTGTCCATTGGTTTTGCGCCATTTAGGCCGTTGTCTCCGATTTCAGCCTGCTTTTCTTTTTGGATTTGCTTCCATAGCCTTGGTCCAACCAAGAACAAACTACAAGGTCGCAGTTGTTGAGTTGTCTCTCCTCGATGAGCTATCGAGCCTCGTCTGCCAGAGGGTTCGAACTCAAGAATATACGGTTAGCAACCACGAACGTTACCGACTCGACCCCGTGTATTAGAATACAAGAGTTTGCTATTTTTATCTTTGCCAGTGGTGTCTTGTGTGTAACACGTGCCCTGAATAACAGAAGTTTTCAATGAAGAGCTCATTTGTCGCCCAGCTCCAATCAAGGCCCTGGCAGCGATTGGCGGAGCTGAAATCGTATTAGCGTATGGCGCTGGCTGTAGGGATGTTGCCATGGTTACAGTAACCTCTGACCTTTCGTAGTGCCTGTTTTTTTGACATTTTCGTTTAGTTATCAGCACAGCATACCCTGTATTCTGATTGTAATCAAACCTCTGTGGTGGCCAGCTAGTGATGGCCTGATTGTGATGGCCAGTCCGTGATGGCCAGCTCGTGATGGCCAGTCCGTGATGGCCAGTCCGTGATGGCCAGCTCGTGATGGCCAGTCCGTGATGGCCAGCACGTGATGGCCAGTCCGTGATGGCCAGCCCGTGATGGCTAGTCCGTGATGGCCAGCTCGTGATGGCCAGTCCGTGACGGCCACCTTGTGATGGCCAGTCCGTGATGGTCAGTCCGTGATGGCCAGCTCGTGATGGCCAGTCCGTGACGGCCACCTTGTGATGGCCAGTCCGTGATGGCCAGTCCGTGACGGCCAGCTCGTGATGGCCACCTTGTGATGACCAGTCCGTGATGGCCAGTCCGTGACGGCCAGCTCGTGATGGCCACCTTGTGATGACCAGTCCGTGATGGCCAGTCCGTGATGGCCAGTCCGTGATGGCCAGTCCGTGATGGCCAGTCCGTGATGGCCAGTCCGTGATGGCCAGTTCGTGATGGCCAGCTCGTAATCTCGAGATGACTAGCTCGTGATGACTAGCTCGTGATGGCCACATTGTGATGGCCAGTCCGTGATGGCCAGTCCGTGATGGCCAGTTCGTAATGGCCAGCTCGTAATCTCGAGATGACTAGCTCGTGATGGCCACCTTGTGATGGCCAGTCCGTGATGGCCAGTCCGTGATGGCCAGTTCGTAATGGCCAGCTCGTAATCTCGAGATGACTAGCTCGTGATGGCCACCTTGTGATGGCCAGTCCGTGATGGCCACCTTGTGATGGCCAGTCCGTGATGGCCACCTTGTGATGGCCAGTCCGTGATGGCCAGCTTGTGATGGCCAGATAATGATGGCCAGCTCGTAATCTCGAGATGGCTAGCTCGTGATGACCACCTCGTGAAAGCCAGCTCGTGATGGCCAGCTCGTGATGGCCAACTTGTGATGGCCAGTCCGTGATGGCCAGCTCGTGATGGCCAACTTGTGATGGCCAGTCCGTGATGGCCAGTTCGTGATGGCCAGCTCAACGTACCGATGCTACCTTTGATGCCATGGATACCCTCGTGTTTACCCCTCGACTGAAACCCAAATCCAACCGTTTGTTAAAGAATGAGCCCTAACTCTACTACTATACTTGCCCCAACAATGATACCGGTAAAGCAAAATAAAAAAAAAAAGATGTTTATTTTTCCTGCCAACATCCCAATGATTTACAAGAATTCCAATCGTTTGAAGAAATCTCCTCCAACGTTAAAATTAAAAGCACAGATGTACCGAATAGTAATCTATGTTTCGTTTCCCAGACCAATTACGTTTAAATTCCCTGAGTCCATCCAGCGTTAAAGCGTACCTGTCATAAGTCGGGTAAAGTAAAACTACTTGTGTAAATGCTGAAAACGAGATCCATTCATATACCGATGGCCTATCAACATGGCCGCAATCTCTGAATGATAACCTATTAACGTGTAATGCAACACTAATTAGTTACAAGAGTCATCTGGTTATTAATGATCTACCTCATGAAAATCGTGCCCTCGTTTTATTACATCGATCCATCTATTGAATCAATGGATCGCTATGGAACCATTAAGCCTCATGGTTATTCATCGGTGTTTGCATTAAAGGTCAGGGGGTCAAGGTGAGTCTAAAAAATGCTACATTCAAATTGGGTCATTTACTCAATGCTCATTATCCATAAGACAATTATGTCACTTAGTGGTAGCCTACTGAAGAAGTGACGCTTTCAAACCAATTATTTTTCAATGGTGCAGAGGAAGTAGAGTTCATCTGTTTCTTTGACTACGCAATGTATAGATAATATGGGCGTTTATATACTCAGCCAGCAATACTCTCCATAACGAGATTCAAGGAACACAGTGGCGTTCTACGACATCCGGGATGCGAACTCGAGACTTTCGTGTTAGTGGTGGCAAACGCTACCGTCTGACCATGCCGGTTAAGATAACTGAAGAAGGATAGCTATAAATACAACACGATTGTAATATTATTAAAAGCCCTACATTTTACAATAATCGCCTTTACCGTACTAACAATTTTAACGTCACAATTAAGTCATCCCCGTAGCATCCTTGCCGTTCTGATTGGGTGTGGATATAATCCCATATTTTAACCAATTATATTTACTTCTGAATGCGTAATATTGTTCTTTAAAACCAGCGCAAAATAAACCGGTAGTGATCTCCCCTAAACTTTCTCGAATATTCTTATATAAAACAACAGGGGATGGTAACTGGGGATATAGTTATGATTTTTAATCCATTTTAAATACTTAAACTTTTAAAAATAGAATAGAATCTCATAAAAAAAGATTGCGCACCAAGCAAACGCCGAATAAAAACGCGTATAATAGTGCGCAATATTATTAGTACTTTAAAAATTTACATTAGTTTTTTGAGAAATCGGAAGTAGCGTAAATTACTACTTCCAGTCAACGGAAATTACTCAAAATTTAACAGAAGGTAGAGAATTAGATCTTTTACTTACATATGAAATTTCATTTATCTATCTGAAATAGTACTCAAGTTATAGGCTTTTGAAAAATTCAAAGTAGGAAAAGTACCACTTCCGGTTATCGGAAATCGCTCAAAAGTTGATACGGATCTACGATTTTGATAAAATACTTATATATGAAATTTCATCAACCTAGCTGTAACGGTACTCAAGTTATCGTGTTTACACACGGACAAACACACACACACACAGACACACACACACACAGACATACGGACAAGATTGCAAAATTATGTTTTTCCGTATCAGTGAGGTGTAAAACGTCGAGATTTGTAAAAATCTCGATTTTTTTTTTTTGCACGATTACAATACTTTCTCTATACTACGTATATACGAGAAAGTAAAAATTAAACAAGTTAATTAAAAAAGTCTAGTGACATTTGTGCGCAATTTCCTTATGTTATCTAAAAATAGCTCTGACGTATAATGTTGGGGTGCGTTCAAGCTAGAAGAACAATCGGTTTGTAGGTGTTTATGTAATTTTAAAATTTGTGACCGAACGAGAGAATATTTTTGAAAACTTTCTTCGGCAATATTGTTCTAAATTATGACAGGAATCGATTGGTACATGTTTCAAGTCGCTAAGTGGTCTGGTTGCCGAGATATGGGCCAAAAACTGAATTTTTTCGAGGTTTTTTGGCTTTTCCGGGAAATACATGAAAGAAACCCGGAATTTTTATGGCCTATGCTCATTCTCGTAACTTGCTTAACATAATTGCTTTTGGAACTATTCATCGATATTGCTTCGTTGAGGAGGAGATACGACTTAAAGCCCGGACACACATTCATCCATCCATCCATCCATTCCCAGAAATGACGAGTTAATAAACGCAATTCTCCAGAATGGAAATTGCGCTAACCAGAATGGAAATTGCGCTAAAAAAATTGTATACTACCGTAAAAATTCTAAAACATTTAAAAAAAATAAAAGGTAAGATTCTTAGCATTAACACACTCTAATCCCCTCTCCTCCAATCCGAGGGCACATAGTTTATCTCAACACAACGGTAAAACCTGATCGATACATCCCTACATACAACGATCTGAACTCATCGAATATTCCAATCTCTCTGCTAGATGCGGTAATTCGATCGCCGTCAATATCCATCATCCGTTTCACCCTTCCCCCCCCCAACCCAACCCTGCTCCCCAAATAACACAGCCGTCAATACCCATCATCCGTTAGACCCCCACCAACCAACCCCACACTCGCTCCCCAGTAACATCTGTCGGTAAATTAAGGATTTTTACCTCGGATAAATCACAATGGACCGGAAATGAAAATGTGGGCGTGGCACGGGCTTGGAGTAACGGGGACGAGGGGGGAGGTGTTGTACTACACTGAACTGGCACTGCTTCCAGTCGGGGTGATAAGTAACGAAATCGAGGGCGTCCAAACAAAATACAATAGCGCCATTTTATTGGCTTTAAGTAGGGGTCAGAAAGGGAAGTAACTCTAGACTTCAGATAAAATCGGCTGGGAAAAGGTAGAAAAAAAATTACCGAAGGTGGAGATAAGGAGAATATTAGCAAAACAGATCGTAGATTTTTGGAATATTTTGTTGTGATGGATTGGTTGTTAGGTTTGGATTCGATGTCATCTTGTTTTTTGTTTAATGTTCATATATACAGCTAGTATACACCGTGCGAGAAATATATTGACCCTTATTACAAATGTGTACATGTTCTATTCTATGCTACTAGTTTAATGCCGATGAATGACACGGTTAATCTGTATACTAATTTTAATTTGAGGGCCGATTAAACCCTCACAATAACAGACAATGGCTAGCCTACTGGGTGCTGCCTCTATCCCTTTCATAGCATGCATCAGTCTGCTGGCAGCTATGGTCTTACAGATCCTTTCATTTGCTGCACCTTATTGGGCATACTCTAATACAGAAGATATTGGCCTTTGGAGGAGAACCAATTGTGTTCAAAGAAATGGGGTGTCTGGCTGCTATAGGACTGACCATCTGTGGTATTATTATACAGAATGGATTGATGCAGTGCGTGCAATGGAAGCTTTGACCATCATTTTCTGGGCCATCCCACTGATTGTTTTGCCTGTTTATATCTATGTGGCACTTGGTCTTTACTACAGATGTACCATTGGTACTATGACAGTACTCACAATTCTTGGAGCAATTACAAATTTAATTGGTGTAATCATCTTTGGTGCTAAGATTGGAGAAAATTCTGCCTGGCGTGCCAGCTGGAGTCTCATCTTGTGTGTCATTGCTTGTGGCCTGGGTATTGTCGCATTTGTATTCCTGCTGATTGCTTGCTGCAAGAAGCCTCCGAAGTTTATTGTAGCAAGTCATTTTCACTCAGCATTTTATGTTGACCCAGACAGAAACAGAATGTATGTGGTAGAAGATGTGGAGCAAGTAAAAAATGGTACCATAATAGGAGGAATAGGACAAATCAATCCAGTTTTAGAAGATGATTAATTTTTTTGTGATTGACATTTTATAATTTGTTTTTGTATAATAAAATTTTTTGATAAATACACTGTTTAAAAATAAAAACACCACATTTTTAAATGTAAGAAAATTTACTGCAATTTTTGTAAGAATGACTGAAATGTTGTAATATATTAATATCTTATTTAATTTTGTCTTCCAAAACTGATGTTCTGTTATTTTTGCATTACTTCTCAGTTTTAATATGTTATAGTAGATTTATAACTATATATATGTTTAATATTACTGGATGTGATAGATCGTTTATTATTGGCTTGTAAGAAAAAGTAAATTGTAAGAAAATATTTTTAAATTTCCAGATCATTCATTTATTCTTCATTTTGGACCTTGCAATTTTTAAATAACACAATAAAAACCTCAAATAAAATATTTGAGAAATTGAATAAACAATTAATATGTAAAAAAAAAAATGTATACTAATTTTAATAACATTGTAATTAGACGTTTTGTTTTAGATCAGGGGTCGGCAACCTGCGGCTCGCGATCTGCATGCGGCTCTTTTGATGTCGAAGTGCGGCTCTTCAGCTCCATGCACAAATATTAATAATTATTTTATTTTATTCTTGAAACTCATAAAAATATTGATCTGCAACACTCGGTAACGAACGATATAATAATAAATATAAACAATACACACTCGCTAGTCTATTTGCGAATTTAACATTTTATTTTCGAAAATACCTCCCCATAAGTATTCTCAACAGCTTCCTAAAGTTTCATGGCGATCGGGTTATGAAAGGTGTAATAATGAATAAAAGACAAACAGACATACACACACATTTACATACTACATACATTGCTTTATATATATATATATATATATATATATATATATATATATATATATATATATATATATCAGTAGCGTACGCAGGGGGGGGGAGCAGGGGGAGCGGCCGCTCCCCCTCTGGCAATTTTCAGCAAAGTGGCGCCTTTTTGGAAACTTTTTAAACTCAAAGTTTTAAACAATGATATTTGTTAAAAAAAATTTGGTCGGCACATCTATGTAAATCACACGATTTCTTTTCATGCAGCAATTAAGCATTATTGTACTAGTCTAGTAGTGTCTACGTTTACAACACGTATTAACAGCTGCATCAGTTTGCCATTCTCAAAATAACCATGCATTGCAATGTTTAAAAAACCTCTACGGGTAGTACCACTTGGCAAGAGGGGTTTTAAGTTTAAGGCAACTGTATAATGTATTAGCTTACACATAATTGAATTAGAAAATGTTATACATAAAACTCCACACATAATTACGTTATATATACAGTTTAAATCGTGTGATTAATTTAAAAAAAATTACAATACAGAAACAAATACAACTGATGTGGCACCTCTATTTAAATTTACTTATGAGCAAACTGCGTAGTGGTGGGGAAATTTTGACATGGTCAACAACGTCATCACGATGAAGTAGTAGTATTCTTACAGTTTGGGCGATACTGATTACGATTACAAATTATATGAAACAGTTACAACCCCCCTCCCACATGGATCCCTCTGTAAAAAAAAATGTTGTCATAATACCACTGCTACTTATTTAAATCTATTTCTGTAATATATATTTGTGTAATATATATTTGTGTAATATATATGTATGTTTAGAAAAGTCATCTAAAAACTGACGCTATGTTCACTCTGAGTTGGTTATCTCTCCCCCTCCCCCCCTCCACACCTCACCACCACAATTGTGTAGAGCGACATTAATGTCACACCTAGGTATACACAGGGTTAGATAATTTACCGGACAGTGGTGAATGAAGTTGAACCCGGACAGTGGTGAATGAAGTTGAACCCACCCCCCTCCCAACCGACCCCGGACATCTATTAAGTACATGTAGAAAAACGCGTAATGATGTACCAAAGTACCATCCCGCCAGAAAATTAGCTTTTTACAAGCTTTTATTTAACTCACTTCCTCTGTCGTCAGTCGACAGTCTGTCTGTCTAGATAGAAACGCAGGAGTGAAAATTCGGAAACTTCTACTTGACCGATACGATTCACACTTGGCACGTGGGTCAAGACATGAAGACAATGCAATCTGAAACTAAATTTGACTTAATTGGATGCCTAATTGATTTTTAATGAATTAATTAAAATTTGGACCGAATTAGTAGGCATATCTAGCCAACCACACCACACGCGTCATCACGTTCAATAGCTGCGCCATCACTTTCAGTAGGCGCGACTTCACGTTCAGTAGGCGCGCAATGGTTTTTAGTCATGTAACACTATTGTAAATAAAACATGTAAAGTACTGAAAAAAAATTCATAAAAAAACGTTTTAATAACAAGCTTTTATGTACTAATGCACTAAAAAGTAGAAAATAAATTATAGACTACTATTTAAATAACTATAAAGAAAAGCGTGGGTCTCTTCTCAAATATTAGTAAAGGTATAAAATAGGTACTAAAGTGACCCACGCTTTTCTTTATAGTTATTTAAATAGTAGTCTATAATTTATTTTCTACTTTTTAGTGCATTAGTACATAAAAGCTTGTTATTAAAACGTTTTTTTTATGAATTTTTTTAAACGTAAAACTTGAATATTGTTTTTGCAATTACCAGTAAAAAGGTGTGTGATCAATACAGTGATCTGGCCCATACCTATCACTATGTTAAAAATGATCTTTAAAGAACACAAAGAAGCAGTAGATAATTAAAATATAGAACTGAACTATAAGAACGATATTAAGTTAAATGTAGGCTGTTATTCCGAATGTTTATCCATTCTATCGAAAAGCGTGGTTTTATACCAACTCTGATTTTAAAAACTTTCATTATGCTGTAATACTTTAGCATTTATGATGACGATATATTAAATTCTTATTATAGACAAAAACATTTTGTAAACACGAATAGTGTTAAACAATTTTACTATATTCTAAAGTAATTATTTATTTGTTTTGACATTTATAATTAAATATGTAGATATATACATATTTATATTAAGAGAGTAATTGTAGCCCCTATTTCACGTGTCTTAAATAATTTCCCAGGAATTATTATGTAAGAATTTTTTTTTTCAAGCATTACAAAACAAATTGTGTTACGTTCATTGTTTTTGGTTGTAGTGTGTGTATATATATATATATTTTACATTGTGTTTTTTCTTATTTCTTCAGAGAGCTACTTTCAATTTATTTTACATCGTAGCGAAGTAATGACATACAGCTAGTAATTATATATATATATATATATATATATATATATATATAAATATAAATTATATATATATATACCTAATCCTAATCAAAGATCATAATATTAAAATAAAAATGTTAGTGGCTCTTTAAAAGCTGGGAAATTTTCTAAATTGTAACTTTTGGCTCTTCCGTCTCAAAAGGTTGCCGACCCTTGTTTTAGATCTATGTATAAGTTAACCATCTTAAATGAATGAAAGTAGGCTACAAGTAAGAAAGAAGTATTACTATTGTAAATCTGTATCAGTCCTCACAAGCCGATGATGAAAACAGTAATACTAAAGCGAGCATGCATGGCAAACTGTCTGTCTGAGGCGAAAGAGAAAGAAAAAAAGTATACTTATCTAATCTAATCAAACTCTTATGGGTACCTGACCGATGAAATGTTAAGGCGTGATACTGGCTACATAATCCACAAATAAAAAGTCGTTATGCAAGTTGACTCCATTTATGTTTAGATTAGAGTAACTTCAATACGCATAGGCGTAGCGACGGGGAGGGGGGGGGGGGCATAATTTGTCACCGAGCACCAATACTAGGGGCACATAAATAAGCTCCCATGAGGTATAAACTACTCTAGGCTAATTATCGATACAAAGTCGTAGTTCGGGAAAAGGGTTCGGCATAGAATTCAGGGGTAGATAAAACAGGGGCATATAATTCTGGGTTAAATAACTCACGGGCAAGGAATTCAGGGGTAGATGACTCACGGGATACAATTCAGAGGTGGGAATAATTCAGTACAAAGATAATTCAGGTGTAGATAACTCACGGGGAGATCATTCACAGGAAGATAGCTCCCCGGCAGATAATTCAGGGTTAGATAACTCACGGGCAAGGAATTCAGGGGTAGATAACTCACGGGGAGATAATTCACAGGAAGATAACTCACTGGCAGATAATTCAAGGGTAGGAGTAATTCAGTGGGGAAAAAAATCAGGAGTTAGATAATTCAAGGCAGAAAATTTAGGGGCAAAGAATACATGCAAGATTTTCTTCGGCTAAGAATTCAGGGGCGGTAACACACGTGCATGAATGAGTAACAGCAAGGGAGATAATCCATGAAGTAAACATGCCTGCTTGAAAATTGATTTTTACGTTCGATCCATCAGAATACGAGTTTTTTTTTTCACGATCAAACAGCCGTGACGTCATAATATTGATATGACAAATGCTGAAGATATCTGGTATGATGCGTGGAGGTGTGGTGTGAAGGGTGGGGGGGGGGGGGTCCAAATAAAGGGACGTAACTGATAAGGACGCCGTTGTTCAGAACGGGATGGGCTGTTCTCCTACTTGATAGCTACGCTATTCCAATATTGGTTGTTTATGAAGGGTTAAAGAAAACACTGGGAGAGGCTTTGGCTTTCATATAAAAATAAACGAAAATAAATGAATGTTTAGGAAGAGAGAGACAAATTAAAACGAAAACGATAAACGAAGAAGATAGATGAATGGGAAGTGGTCGGAGGAATAGCTAGAGGGAAAATATAAATATGTCGGTCAGTATCCAGATATATTTTGCACATTGTAAAGATTATTGCTTGCAAAAATATATAGTTGTATTGTTTGTAAATTGTATGTTCTTTGCAATTTTTAACTTAATTTTTTTTTGTAGACAACAATGTTTACATATTGATCAGTATTATTCAATTCTTAGTTTGCCGTGACTAGCTTTTGAATCTTTTAGGTATTTTGTATGTAAAGGTTTAACAATTTTACTGTTTAGTGTTTTAAAAATTTAATTTTTTTTTTAGGGTTTTAGTCAGCAAATCTAAAGTTTTGTTTTTAGATATCTTTTGAATTTGTCTGTTATTTAGTTGGTAAGTCACTTGTTTAAACTTGTATCATGTCCTGATTGTAAGTTAGCTTCTGTTGACACAGGCAGCATCACATGTAAAATTTGCTACACTTAATTTACACTGTTCACAATAATCGATAACTTGCCTTACAACCTTGAACTTTCAACTCTATTTTTTTAA